GGGTGGCGGACGACGGGATCATATCGTAAGCTAGGCTGCCGCCACGTCCGCTACTGCTGACCAGCCGTCTGTAACCTTATACTAGTGACCACCACTGACACCCTGCATCTCTGCACCTCGCACCGTGATCTCTATCAACCGTTCTATGAACTGTGTGCAGCGCGTTTACATGACGACTGCGAGTTGGCGCGACTCGATCGAGCGGTCAGCGTCGACCGCGAACGTACGCGTGGGGCGTTGGATATAGGGTTAGGGTATATATATATATATAGGGTTAGGGTATATATATATATACCCTCACCCTAACCCCTACCCACACACACCACGTACACGCGTGCGTGTAGGGTATATATATATATAGGGTTAGGGTATACCCTAACCCTATATCCAACGCCCCACGCGTACGTTCGCGGTCGACGCTGACCGCTCGATCGAGTCGCGCCAACTCGCAGTCGTCAGTTCGCAACGCGCTGCACACAGTTCATAGAACGGTTGATAGGGCGTTGGGAAGTTGGTCCAACTAACAACGCCAATTCGCCAACCCAGCTTTACTCTTGATATTATATATGTATGATCATATGCAGCTTGGTGGTGCGTACGCTGTGAGCGCCTTCGATTGTCAGGTTGCGCATGTTACCATACAGACAAAGAGCCCAAATATTATGAAAATAATAATAATAATAAAAAATGATCGCGACTTTTTGCAGCGCGTGTGACAGCGTGCGTGCGCATGCGTGCCTGTCAGAGTGCCAGTACACTGCATGACCGCGCGCGCGTCAGAGAGCGGGGGAGGGGGGGGGAGCGAGACAGATACAGAGAAAGGAAGGAGAGGGCGATTGGTGGGAGCGATGGAGTGAGGAAAGGGAAGAAGAGACAGAGGGAGGTATTATGGATAAAGGGCAGTATCTGGCGATTTACTTCAAATTTCGTTTGGATCAAACCACTTATATGTTATAACAGCGACCCTCTTTTCCGATAAAAAAAATCTTCTCTTGCACAGTGCACAGGATGGTTGCATTGTTGAAGGTCTCGTCATGGAACAAGCCGAATAAGTACTACGTCTGCGTGTTTATGCCTTCTGCAAATACCGCAATTTATTATGCGCGTATGCGTGCCTGCGTACAACATTGTCAGTTTGCATTATTATAACAAATCATGCTCAGTTCCGACCGGTTGGTTCGGATCCTGTCATATCTGCTATAATTATGTGTATATGCATGTAACATGCGTGTGTGCGCGCGTACGTGCGTGTTGGTGCATGTGCCGTGCACGCTCTTACATGAGATGGTAAATAATGTGAAAACAAATACAATCAAAGAACAGCAATTACGACACAGAAATTCAGAAATTATATTTCTGCAAATTTTGCTCTTCATATGTAACAACTGGATATGTCGCATTTTGAGCAAGTCATATACGATGAAATGTAGATAAAAACTTTACACAATATGTACATTTTGTATATATGCAATGTGTTCAATTGCAACTTCCATTATATTAACGTGTGCTTTTTAAAACACTTAAAATCTATGTACAAACTTCTAATATCTACAGGTAGTTTAGCACCTTTACATACTAGGTATATCAATCTGTTTCCTGTTTCACCAGTTCAATGTAGAGTACGGTGAAAATTCAACAATACCTAGGCAAATCTGACAGGCCTCTTGTATCAACAGTATTTACACGATTTCCCTAGTTTATTCCTGGCTCCAATAACACGATTGGGCAGAATAAATAGTACCGAACTAGTTGAGTTATAGTGGCAGTGATGCGTACCCAACTCATGTCATACACGCTTAAAATATTGACGCAAACGTGGAAAACGAAAAGGTGAGAAAAACTACCCATAAATACACTTGTCAATAGGAAATATTACAATAAACGGACTAAATACCTATGCCATTCGAGGTAACGCAACCGTATTAAAATATCTGGAAGTATCTTGGTATCCAAAATAACTGGGAATTAACCGAATTTGATATTATACTACATTCCATAAGCAAAAATATGATAAAAAAACTATCAGTGATCTATCAATGATACACTGATGCACTGAAGTCTGATCAGCCACTGTCCTAAAATGGTCTGGTAGATTTTGCTGTCAGGAGAGGCTTCCATGTAGACACTATGGTGGTAACTGCCATCAAAAGTAGTCTAAACTGAAAGAGCACCACAATTAAATTTAAGCATTTTAATTTACAAGAGTGACATATGTTACATGTAGTATGGCGAATCACTGGCTGGACAGTCACACACCACCGGAGGTGTGCGGAAGGCTAGTCAAATCAAATCATTCGTGCCACACAGGAAGGGGTCGGGAATCACTCAGACATAAACCAAGAGGTATATTAAATCCTCTCCCATTGAAATTTACATCAACGATCTTGGTAATTTAAAGTTTTTGTAAGTAATATAAGTAATTGTAAGTAATTTGGTTCAGAAGCATTGTATACCTATTCCTGCTGGAATAAAGACGAGGCCTACCTCTAATTTAATCGCAGAAGCTAAAGATGGATCTTATCATAACGCAAATACATAAAACAAGACAGATAGAAATATGATATTTTCAACCTAGCTGCTTGTACTAGGAGTGTCATAATATAGATTATACATTGACACTCCTGCTTGTACCCTACTGGAGCAAGCGCGTAGCCAGGGGGGGGGGGTCCTGGGGGCCCTAGGACCCCCCAATCAAAATCAAAATCCAAAAAAATCCAAAAAAATTCACAAAAAATTCAAAAATCCAAAAAAAGAGCACTATTTTAAAGCACTATTTTTACATTTAACTCAAAAAAAAAATTTGTTACTCGCTCGAGGACCCCCCCCCAATCCAAATTCCTGGCTATGCCCTTGTACTGGAGGGCTGGCTTGTTATAGTTAGCTAGCTATGCAGTTCGGTTCGCTACCTTTCGACCGTAGTCGGATGGCCAGAATGATGCACGTCTGCCGCCGTGGTCGCGGAGACGGGCACACCGCCGCCTGGAGATTCACTGTCAAAGCCATCCAGATGGTCTTCGGTGTCCAAGCCGATGCTGCTGCCCGTTCCCCACACCGTGCTGGACCTGCTGTGTCGCCTGTTCAACTCGCTGCCACTGCAACGAGATGCACATAGATGCACATGCCCTATACACCCATGTATGTACTGTCCTATATGTGTATAATCAAGCACAAACTTGTGGCAGGTCTGATACGAATATATGCACGGTTCTATATTAAATATACATAGATACATATATACATATATATATATAGAGAGAGAGGGAGAGAGAGAAAGACAAAGAGAAAGAGAGAGAGGAAGAGAGAGGGAGAGAGAGGGACGAGGGAGAGGGAAATGGAGAGAGAAGAGGAAGAGAGCGAGAGAGAGAGAGAGTGCGAGCAGATAACTAACAGATTAGAAGGCTAGATATAAAAAAAATATAAAGACGTCTACACCTACGCCAATTGGGACCACCCAAACTAACCTACAGCCTCAACAATCACATACCTATTGTGCGAGCGTGAGCCATTACTCATAGAGATTCGTGTGGATTGCAGCTCTGTCCACTCTGTCATCCAGCTGGCTTCGGTGAATGGCCGCGGACGCAGGGTGAACATATCGTACGCCATCTGATCTATGTCGCGTCGACCCCGGACGGAGGAGTATCGACTGTGTCCAGGGTTGGTCGTGGCGCCCGTTCCCCAGTCATCCTGCAAGAATTGTCGTTTCGGTCAGGTATTTGTAAGCGGAATTTATCGTTATGTTAACAGTGTTTTGTGTACATAAAATGACGGTCAGAACGTCAGTGTCTGCACTAACTATTGCCAGCCACATAATTATATCTCACTTTCACGTGAGATAATGAGCCTGCCACACGCACGCACGCACGCACGCACGCACACACACACACACACACACACAGACTCTGCCAACAAAAAGTCCCAGGGTCCAGTGTGTTGCACCATCTGCCAATCACGCATGACAATACACACACGCACACAGGCATGCTGAAACAAGCATGCACGTAGGATACCTGTGCGCAGGCGCTTGTACTCATGCAAGCACACATGTGCAAACTGCTGTGTTTATACGCTATAGGCAAGCACGCATACACAGACACGTAGCCGGCCAGACACACATGTATAGCGAGAGATAACTAAACAGTAACAGAATAAGAAACAAACATAGAAACGTACCAACAAGAGCTGCAGAGCGACTGGGCTCAGCTGAGGTCTGTTGCTACCTGTCGTACTACTACTAGTATCATACTAACTCAATCCCCCCCGACGTCCCAAAAATCAAGACCGTACGTCGAGCGGTTAATATTTGTGCCATAACTGTTAACACACGGACGGACGGACATTCATGCGATTCTACAAGCTGCATCTGACTTCGTCAGCTGAGCTAATAAATATTAGATATATAAATCTTAGATGTAGATAAAAATGTTGCTTGCATAAGGCTGTACCGTAGAGTTTGGACGCTCGCCCGAAACTGACGCTCCTAAGTGCGCATGCGCCTCTTTTCTTGCAAGGGCGCATGCGCAGCATGCGCAGTAGTCATCTGCGCATCTCGCCCATCGAAACGGTCGCAATAAACGAACATGGCGAACAACCCGGTCACTGATAGCAACATTTGATTAAAACAATTTGCAATATGTAGTAAGTTAGTAAGACTGTCTTATGTGTGTCAGGTTACAAAGCGAAACAAAAAGAAAACAAAAGAGCATGGCTACTATTTCTTACGGCCCTGCAAAACAAGATTCAAACAAAAAGAAAACAAGAGAAAAACAAAAGAGCATGCCTACGGCTCATCGCATGCGCACTTAGGAGCGTCAAGTTTCGGGCGAGCATCCAAATTCTACGGGACAGGGGCGTAGCAAGTGTCGTAAACAAAACGCAGCGACACCTGGCGCCAACGAATTCATTTAATTTCGATAGGTAGATGGATTTATTTCTTACGTAGTATAGACATTTTCTTGCGTTACACCCATAGAGATAGTATAGATAACCATCTGGTTATCTATATTATTTCTATGGATACACCACACTGTACTTGCCTGCATAATCATCCATTATCTTTGCTATAAATTTTATTTGAATTTGAATTTGGTTTCGAATTTTGGATGCGTGCGAGTTACTATCGCTGCCAGGGTCTATGTTTCTCTGGGTACGTTCCGGCAGTACCCAGGGAGACATAGACCCTATCAACGTTACTATCATCCCTGCACATTCTAAGCATCTCTGCAAGTCTATCCCGATAGATGGGGGGGGGCGCTTTCAAAGGCATACTTTATCGTGCAATGCAGCAAGGTACATTTCGACTAGACGGGTCCCCGCCCAGCGAGGCCTAAGCCAAGAGGTGGGATCGAGTACCAGTCTACATTTCGAGCAGCTATCAGCGGCCACAAAAAGCCAGTCAGTGCGAGACTGCGAGTGTATTCGTAATGTGTACACTACAGAATCTCATATAATTATTGTTTAAGTAAGTAAACGTTGTTCAAGCAAGAGTTATGTGTGGAATTTCACTGTAAAATGTGAGGCTTCCACAACCACAGGTACTGGCAAACGCAGCCGAGTACGCAGTACACAAATCCATGTTTAAATGCATGTATATATAGGTATATACCATATTGCCCATAAAATTCACTAAAACCCCAATGTTTGTAGCACTTCTCTGGCTCAATGAGAACATTTCGTGATGTTTGCACACTGCAAGTATGCTCAGAGTAGGTCTATATAAGCTTTTTGTTGTGAGGTGTCCGTTTTAACCCTCTTCTTGAGGGTCAAAAGGTTATCAGATACTTACTCTTCACACGTCAGCGGAAAGTACATTTCATGGTCCTTTCAATAAAGTGATAAAAATGGTAGGTCAGCGCTAAAACAAAAATGTTTTTCACGTGGTCTGTTAGGCCATGTCCTCAGAAAATGTCAGATATCTGACCTTTCCTCCACTCCCATTTGACCTGTGACCTCCAATTTTGCACTGGTGATGGGTTTCCTCCCCATCACACTATACATCGAATATTAAGAGCATAGGTCGAGCCATTGAGATTTGTGCCACAATTCCGTATTTCCTCCTATCCTAAGGGGAAAATATTCCCCACTATTGACACATCTTGACCTTTGACCCTTCACCCCCCAAATTCGACATCCCGTGTCCTTTCGCAATTCCACCCGACGTCCCGAATATCAAGATCGTACGTCGCACGGTTAAGATTTGTGCCGTAACTGTTGACACTTGGACGGACGGACGGCCGGACGGACATTCATGCGATTCTACAAGCTGCATCGGACTTCGTCAGCTGAGCTAAAAATAGTCAGTAGATTATAAGAAGATAAAGTGAGCTACTCACAGCAGCTGTTTCAGGTTTCTGGTCCATTTGCCTTGCTCGCTTTTCCTTGCGCCAAATTACAAAGCCGGCTATACTTGCCATGACTAGCACGACAAACACGGCTGCAGAGGAGATAGTGTATATCCACGTCTTGTCACCTGCACAATCGAATTAAGTAGAAATTATACATTGCTGTATACCGATTCTTCGCTGCTTTCGCAGTTATAACAGTAGTTTAAATCCCCTTCTCCTCCAACCGCAAACATTGAAGATCCTTGCCAACAGGATATCGCTGAATGTTTACAAAGACACAGCAATAGCAGGCACACCAACATTCAGCATGCTGTAAACAATTTACGTCAACAGGACTTTTACCCTAGTCAAACGCACGCGAGCATGCATGCGAGCACTATGGCTTGCTTACATACCCGGGCCCCCCTTCGTTTTTTTTTGGGTTCGGCTTTTGTTTTTTCCTTCCTTTTGAAGGCCCCCCCTTTTTTCGGGCTTGGCAAAATTTCTGACCCCCCCTATTATAGGGCTTTTTGCAGGTTTTTCCTGCCTTGGAGACCCCCTAAATCCGAAATGATCCTGAATAAGCTTTCAAAACTAGCAGGAATTTCAGGAATTTGATCCCGGGATTTGATAAAGTTTTCTATGATATTCAAGATGAAAGAGAGAGAAAAAAACACCCCCTTTTTAAAGAAATCTCCGGGTGAAAAGTCAAATACACCCCCTTTTTTTTACAATTCTTGGGCCGGATTTTGTTGCGCGAAAAATACCCCTTTACCGGAGATTTTGGGAACGCGCATGCGGTCCCTCCGACCTCGGAGTGGGAGGCCCGGGCTTACATATAAATATTTCGTGTAGGCATGTGCGTACGAACTAAATTAAATAACAGTTCTCTATACTCCTTTTTAAAATGGCAGGAAATATGAATACGTCTTATAATTGGCACTGTCTTTAGGTGTTAACTTGGTGACCAATCGGTTTACCACACCCAAATACCTGTATATACAAGTAACTAAGCAAGCATGTAAATAGCTGGTTGAGTGAGTGAGTCACTGAGTGAGTAAGGGAGTGAGTGAGTGAGTGACTGAGTGAGTAAGGGAGTGAGTGAGAGTGAGGGAGTGTGTGAGTGAGAGAGTGAGTGAGTGAGTGAGTGAGAGAGTGAGTGAGTGAGTGAGTGAGAGAGCAAGTAGGTGAGTGAGTGAGTGAGTGAGTGAGTGAGTAGGTGAGTAGGTGAGTGAGTGAGTGAGTGAGGGAGTGAGCAAAAGAGCGAGTGAGAAAGTCGGTCAGTGAGCAATCAAGCAAGAAATAAATAAAGGGGAGCGAGTGAATGCGCACCCTTTAGCGGCGATGCTGAGATATCTTGCTCGGTAGTCGTGGATGGCACGATCACGGTCGTCGTTGGCACGTTGATGCGCACGCTCAGGCTGCCGGGGAGCACGTTCAAGTCGCCCATCTGGCCGGAGTTGATCGAGTCGTTCAGCGTGTTCTCTATGGCGAGGAGTGTGACCGAGCCGTCAGCTCCGACAGCTATCACCTGTGAAAGCACAGCCGCTGTGTTAAGCGTGTGTTCGGCCACTGGTCCAGTGGCGTAGCTAGGATTTTTCAGCGAGGGGGCACTGGGGGAGCCTTACATTTTCGTGGGGGGGGCACAATATATAACTTTTCTTTGTATATTATACTGTTCTAACGGCATTGTTTTTAATTCAATTTTTTGTTATCAAGCATGAATTTTTAGGGGGGGGGGCACCTGGGGGGGCACAGAAAATTTGTGGGGGGGGCGCCCCCCTGTAGCTACGCCCCTGCACTGGTCAACTCGCTCTGCTCGCTCGAACGATGCGCACTACGAATGCGACATCTCGTTTGTTCGACCATGAAAATTTCACTGCATGTACTACTCGTCTCGGAAAAAATTAATACAAACGATGAAAGAAATAGAGCGGGGTATTTTTTTTAAACAAAGATTCGGGTATTTTACACACGGGAACGAATGTCCACTACAAAAGAAATGTAGCAAGGTTTTATCTTAAATGTATGGTCGACAGAGTCCGACTGCTTTGGTAAATTGGTCTTGTTATTCTAGTATATCGCGTGCAAGTATACACACGCACGCACACATGCACACACTGAACAGGTGATACGATGATAGAAAACGATCGTGAACACGATGATAGCTGATTGTTATTCCCACACCTGGCCCGCTATCAGAAACATTGGATCCGATAGTTAAGACAAAGTCTCGGAACCACGCATTCAAGCCTACTCATTAGAATTTCACACCACGATATAGATATACAACAGATATATAATAGAATCTAAAGAAAGCAAACATGATGCATCAAGTACCTGTGTATTTGCAATGACAGATCCCTGATCGAACCCTATAACAGTGGCATCCTGGTAGCCATCCACCTCCTGTAGAGTGTTGTTCAACTGTAAACATGATAACACCTTGTCAATAGCTCTACACACATGTTCGCACCTGCACGGTACATCTTAATATACAGCTCACAGTTGACAGAAACATCCTGGTACTATCACTTCTATATGACACGTTACTGATATCATGTATCCCTCCAACAAAAAATAACCATCTCTCATGAATATTAGATCTTGGCTAAAACCTCTCGGTGTGGTAAGATCTCACGATGGCTTTGTCAAAAATCGGTACAATAGCACCCGTTACACTGCCCACGTTGGAATTTGATAGATTACCATGACCTAGATGTCATATTAATTTAGTTTAGTGAAGATGGTCATCTGATTGGTGAATGGATACTTTGATTTTTGATATATCTATATATAATAATATATATTGTATATACTTTTACGGGCAGCACGCGGTTGTATATTTAAACATAGCGCACACTGACATTTACAGTTGTAGCTACTAATGCCAAGCTACAGGTACTTACAGCAGTCTGCACATCATCTGCAAGTTTCTGGTACTCTGTAGTGTTGCTATTAGTTAGGCTACCATGCCACTGCATGTCCATGGCGAACGAGACATTGTACGAGTGTTCAGTCGTCGGTATCGCTGACGTAGATATATTGTTATCGATCGTTGTTAGTGTCACCTCCGTGCTTGGCACAGACTCTTTTGTTGTCATGGGAAGAGTCGTGGGTGCTGGTGTAGTAGAACCTACAAAATTTAAACACGACATCCGGAATTATTTCTGTGATGACCAAGATGATAACAACAACACTTAAAACGAAACAAGTCATTATTTTTTACATAGATACAAGGCACAAATCTCCTAACTATGCCACGCGGTCACGCGAGCAAGCACTGATAAGCATTCATCAATATTTACCAGTTTAATCGTGACGTCATCCACTCATACATCTACGTACCTGGACATGTTGTGAAGCAAACTTGTTTCCCAGTGATCACAGGTTTCTTCACATGCTGTTTCAGCTTGCCACTCGGTGGGTAGAACTTGCCACCCATGAATGGGATAAACACATAGTAGCATCTGCCGTTTCCAAACTGCAAGTCGGTGCTTTGATTCGTATTGAGCTTCCTAGTAAACTGAAAGAATCAACATAACATTATGCATGTGAACATCTTATGACCCGACCCATTTTAATTATTCATTTATACCAACATTTGCAAATCACCGCTAAGGATTTTGCATTTTCACTACTAAGCTGCCCAGTACTTTGTTTGATTGCTAAGCCTAGATCGAATCTGGTCAAATACTAAAATCAAACAACACACACGCATACGTGTGCACGCACACATGCACACACACTAAATTACTTCACTATAACACTACAGTAACTATGATCCAACACCTACCTGCAACGTAAGGCTACCATTTACATAGTTTCCACTAAGATTGTAAATGGTTGACTGATCTGGATCAATAGCTGGTGAATCGTTGGCATCAACTATCCACCTGAAGCACAACAGCATGCTGTCATTCATCGTGTAGTACTCCCTAGCGGTTAATTTATAGTATTTCTATTAGGTGTTCTCCATCTAGTACAATTGCAGTACAACAAATAGTAAATCGTACAACAAGCATTTCAACTGTCTGTTTACTATGAAGTATGCGAGTAAAATTACCGGTTAGTAATGTTGAACAGTCGTTCGCCGTCTACGTAAGTGTAGCCAATAATAGCATCACTATTTGCCTGTCAAAAAGTTCACACAAGCATTAACTCCAAATTGTTAAATTGAAATAAATACTTTAAATAAAGTATATGCAATAAACATTGAATGAAAAGACATCGTCTGAAGATAGGGAATAACTGCCTTGTTAACCCCCTAGTGCACTCTTCACGTATAAGTTCGAAAATACTATACTACGATGTTCAAGAAAGTGTTCTATGTGCTGTCACCTACCATGTACATGTCTTCAGAGAACCCCACGCCTGTCCATTTGTTGTTTGCGTGGGTAGTGGTTATCTTAAACATGATGTCATCCTTCGAGCTGTTATAAATCCATGTCATCGTGTACTCGCACCCCATCTCGCTACGGCTGCATCCAGCCGGAAAGTATATGTTTCCCTCGCACATCTCCGTCGCGTGCGTCCGAGTCTGATATGGCGGAGGCGTCGCATTTCTTCGTACAGCTGCAAAAACCAGCAAAATCCGTATTGATATTCATTATCGACATTACTTACTGTTACACAACATATGATCTTGACGGTGAAACACTGCAGACTAGTGGCCATGCAACAATGTGCGGTTAACCAGGCGTGCAGCAGCGTACAACGTAACAATCATGCAGCAACATGCTGTAATCATGCTAAAAATATTCACCTCGCGACTTTCTTACCACATGGTCCGATACAGATTCGGTCGAACGAAATGGCGGGAATCAAAAAATGCCTACTAAGTTCGCCAGATGTTTCGTTGACACTGCCACCTAAAAAAATAAAGATCATTATCAACAATTCCTAAATGCACAAGGTAACTGCGCGTTTTTCTACTGTCCTCTTTCTAAATTACCACGTATACACTTTGTGTTTTATAGCAGAAAGGCAAATAAAAGTAAAATATAGAGATAGTAACTTTCCATTGTAAAGCTCAGAAAGACTGTGTTGTTTCTGTTATATATATATATATATCATGATCACCCCTTCTCTTTTTATTAGTAACAGTACGAAAGACAATAGTTACCACTGTAAGGGAAGAACATGTAAAATCCCTCATCGCTGAACAGAAGATCAAAGTTCGGATCCTCTGTAATACGCTTCCGTGCAAAGGTGAAGGTCGTAATGTTACCCGACGGAGAAGCACTGATGTTGTATATGTTCTGCCTCGGATCTATGTTCACAGACTTGTCAATTATATGCCTGGAAATAAAAATGTGCATTACAGCCTCCTGATAGGCGTACATCATACGCATCTCCTATGGTGATGTATGTATCAGGCACATACTGGTGAAAAGACGTACAATGCCCAAGCTGTAGGGGTAAGAAAGCCTTTATTTTTACAACACAGAAATAGGACAATCGTAGGACCATGGTTTCTGCCAGCTGTGTGTTTAGTGCCAAAAATAATGCGGTTTACATTGCCATCGAAATACCTACGAGCATTAATTGTAAGTGACTGTACCTGTCTGTTATGCTGTAGTACCCTTTCTCTGCCATCCTTGCTATAACTGCATCACTCTCATTCTGAAACACACACACACACATAGCTATAATTCCTAATGCAATAACAGTATTTAACGCAAATATGCGAGTGGAAACTAAAAAATTTTTTTTTCACAAGATCACTCCACGCTCACCTCACTTCTTTGGATGCGATCTAATTTGACATCATTCCTCACCCAATTACTCTACAGCTTTTTCTCTGTTTATGATACCTAATCCTCATTACCACCCTGCTACAGCTTTCTTTCTTCACGGTACGTCTTCCGCACCCATACCACAAGGTTCTTCTCCCATGACACCTGTCCTTCCTCCCGCCACCACATTCCTCTTCTACACTTTCCTACAAATTTCTTACCATATTTCAGGTATTCCTTCTCCCAACTTTTCTACAGCACTCTTCCCTTAATATGACATCCATCCATTGTCTCACTAATTCTCCCACACCTTTCCTCCTTTGCATTTCTGTATGGCTTTCTCTCCTTATGACATCCCTCCCTCCTCCATCCGTCCTACGGGGTTCTTCCCCTTCTCCTCGTGCCACACATTCATCTCTCGCATGGTTCTACAGCTTTCTCCCCCGTATGATACCTCTTCCTTCCCCACACTCTCCTATGGTGTTTTCTCCGTACGATATTCCTCCCATCCTTCCTCCTCCCTCCGCCTCCTTCCCACTCAGGAATCTCTCTCCCCATGGCAACTCTCCCTTTCTCCTACGACCACCAGCACCTCCACCACCACTGCTTCTTCTGGCATTATCTCCGTATGATATTTCTCCCTCCCTCCCTCCTCCTCCTCCCCTCAGACGTTTCTCTCCCTCTGACACCTGTCCCTCCCACCACCACCTCCACTCCTTCCACATCCCCCCTTCTCATTCCTTCTCCTCCTCTCCTCCTCCTCCTCCTAAAAAATTTCTCTCCCCGCGACACCTCTCGCTCTCCTCCTACTACCAACACGTACCTCCACCACCACTCCATCCTCATTCCCGCTCCCTCTCCCACTCCCTACTCTCTCCCACCTTCTCCTGCTCCCTACCCTCTCCTGCTCCCGCTCCTTCACCCGCTGCTGCCTACCATCTGGCGGTCGTGCGAGAAGCCGATGCCGGTCCACTTGCTGCCGAGGTCCTTCACCTTCAGCGTGAACTGCACGTCGTCCTCTAGCTGGCTGTACTGCCACGACGCGTAGTAGTCGCACGTGCGGTCGCGCACGCTGCAGTCGAACGGGTGCCAGTAGCTGCCGAAGCACGGCCCGCTCTCGTCCACTGCCAAAGACACGCGGTCAATGCCGGTGAGGCCATCGCGGAGAGAAGGAGGGGAAACACTGGCGTAGCCACGCGATGGAGGAGGGCCGATGGGTTTCGAATGTGGCTGTCGCACAGGGAGGGAGGAAGGGAGGGAACAATGTGCTTATCCACGCGTGGGTAGGGTTTCGAATGTGGCTGTCGCGCAGGGAGGAGAGGGGGATGTTGCGCTTAGCCACGCGAGAGGGAGAAGAGTACTGCTGGGTTTCGAATGTGGCCGTCGCTGAGGGAAAAAGGGGAACACTTAGCGATGTGTGGGAGAGGGCAGCTACGTTTCAAATGTGAATTGTGTCTATGGTGAGAACGCTGACGCATGATGTGCGTAGCCACGCGTGGGGGAGGGCCGCTGGGTTTCGAATGTGGACGTCGCGCAGGGATGGAGGGAGAAAGCTGAGCTAAACCACACGTGGGGGAGGGCCGCTGGGTTTCGAATGTGACTTCTGTCTAGTCTGGGTTGGTGACGCACAATGTGCATAGGCACGCGTGATGGAGGGCTGCTGTGTATCGAATGTGAATTGTGTCTAGTATGAGACGCATAATGCGCGTAGGCACGCGTGAAGGGGGAGGGGGGCACTGCATTTCCCATATGACTTGTGTCTAGTGCATGGTAGGGTGTGGGACCGGGTTCAATTGAAACCTTCGTACTAGGATCACTCCGAGGAAAATTTGTCAAAAGCAACATCGCAGGGGACAAGTTATAAAAAAAATATTGGTTAAGTGAAAGTGCCAATCAAAAGTAAAACTGTTTACCAATCAGGTTATTTTGATTAGCTAAATCATTCGTGAATGCGTGGTGGGCGCAACGTTCTCATGAGATGCATGAGCCAACTTGACTTTGCTATAAGAGTAGGCAAGCTAAAAATCTCTCTCCACAAACCCAAACCAGTAACAAAGTGTAAATTCAGCAAATGCAAACATGAAGCATACACACAAAAACACAAAATGAAACCAAACATTATGTGATCAATAAAAGCCTATGGTACCAACGTGTTTCAGCAAACAGCACACATAGCACGATTATTGTACAAGAGAATTCTCTATCCACAATACCATAACACACACCATCCTTTTACCACAGTAGTACGTATCAACACGGGGCATGCATACACCAATCCATCATTACTACATGCATAAAACCACGAGCTAAAACCCCTTTTCAATAATTCTCATTTCGGTTCAACATACCGATAAAGTTGATCTTTAGCCTTCCTCTCTGTTTTAGATCACACCCATGGTACTTTAAGTCGTCTGCGACGTAGAAGCTGGAATTGGAAGGCACCTGCGTCCCCAAGTGACAGTTCAACTCCGAGGGCTGCCCTTTAGCCCATATCACATGCATCGTCTTATTAGTAAAGCTGTGATCACTTGGCTCTGTCGCTGTAAGAGAGAGAGAGAGAGTGAAAATATAACTAATAGCACCTTAAAACTGAAATATAAAGCTACAATTAAAATTTCCTAAGCCATGAATGCAATATTAAACAATTAATCAAAAAATTCAAATGTGAATGCAAGATGTATAATGAGCATACTACACAGACGTTTCTTCATTACGATATAGTCGTACATATATGACTATTTTCTACACGAGACAGAGCAAAAGTCGAAAATTAAGGAAATATGTAGGGCAGCTAGTTGAACAAAGTTCATTCATTAAATTATTAATTTTTCTTTTATTAAATTACATTTTATGAAAAACTTACAGCTAGGAATATCGAGATATATCTGCAAAAGGTTTCCCCTTTGATGCTGGCAATTATACGTTACCTGTAAGATTCCTTCGAAACAACAGCCAGGTAGTTGGCTTGCCGTCCACTAAGGTTTCCATGGCAAGGGCAGCAGTCAGGCTGTCAGTCCCCCCATAGAAAGCATCTTCGCGAGGGCTGGAAATATCACGAGTGTAGGAGTCCCTCACGCGACTGTAGCTCCCTCTCACCTGCGCCACGACCATATCCGTGCAATCCATCGCGTGAAGTCTTGCAGCTTTAAAACAAATACAGAGAGAATAATGCATGACCATGAAGAGGACACATCTCTCTCATTCTCTCGCTTTCAACTCTCGCTCCCCACCTCTCCCTGTGTGCGTGCGTTTGCGTTCGTGTCTTGCAGCTTTAAAACAAATACAGTGTGTATAATGCATGACTAAGAAGAGGACACATCTCTCTCATTCTCTCGCTTTAACTCTTTCTCCCCACCTCTCTCTGTGTGTGCGTGAGTGCATATTAAATACGTTTCTTCAAACATATTTTGGAGTCTTAACTATTTATCTTTTTAACGTACCATGTTCTCCAACACCACCTCCGGTGTCTCGATGTGTACTGGGATATCCAGGAAGAGAAGGAAAGCTCCGACACGATGACGTTATACCTATAAATACATTTTAAATATGAAAGACGTTCTTTTTTCGAGAAAAGTGAAATGTTGGCTAGTGACACGGTTTTAGAATGGGCACAAGTGGCAACGGGCATTTGGAAACTTGGAAGAGAGAACCACAAGAAAGTTGGTGATAATGAATGTGATCACCAATCACATTAACAGCTGTTATTGCACGTAGCCGTACTAAAGAGGATGCACACTATATAAAACCGTAAATGTGTTCTAGCACGACGACAACACCATGACTTTACCTCCATCTGCATCGTCCGGTCTCCAACCAATCGCAGCCCAGCTGGAACCCGTCACGTGTAAAATTATCTCAATCTCGCTGGAACCCTGAAGTATCAATCCAAGATTATTAATAAGACTTTTTAAACTGTGTCGCATTACACAGTATATATTTGCTCTATGAATCGTATGTCAGTTCGGATTTTAGAAGGTTGTCCAATATTTACATTAGGAGTTAATGGTATTATTCGCAAACAGTTCGCTTCCAGTTACTCACACCACAATCCACCTAATCAGTGTAACGGATATCGTGCTCAATCAATATTCAGCCAGTATTATGATACATTCTTATTTGTAATTTTTTGTGCTTTTATGGACAAGCCTTCCTGAGCACAACCCTGCACGCACAGGGAAAATGGATGTTAGCAAAACATTTTCTAGAATTTAAATGAATTTAGAAGACGTGGGAGGCCGAAGATGTCTTGGAAGGAGGTTGTGAAGAAGGATAGGGAACAGTGGAATCTCCCCGCTGTAGACCCTTTGGATCGTGTCATATGGAGAGCAAGCGTGAGAGCTGCCAAAACTGAACCGAGCCAGATTCCTGGAGTGGGTTTCTACGGATGTGGATTTAAACCCTTGAGTCCAGTATAAAACAAAGAAACCAAAAACAACAACAACAACAACAACAACAAATCACATCCTCTTACTAATATTCTCCAGTAAAGGTTAGAATCATCAGTGAGCATCCGATGAGTATGCAAGCAATGGTTGATATCTTTCACAGGCGATTCTGAAAGAAAGAAACTCTTGTCTTTATACATGTCTAACTCTTAAGATACTAGATAGTATAAGCACACACCTCATATCAGAAAACCTAGGTCAGTACATACACAGTGCATGCAATTGAGATACTACATCACGCTGAGAGGGTCTATGTCCCCCGAGGTACTGCCGGAACGTAACCTGGTACTATCTAATATGCCGGACCGTAACTCGCCTACTCCACTAACGAGTCTAGGGAGTCGCCTACGCCTACTCCCTAACCCTAACCATATCAAATAGTGACCAGGGTACGTTCCGGCAGTACCCTGGGGGACATGGACCCTATGAGCCATAGGCATACTATTAGGAGCTTCAAGAAACTTGGTTTTTGTTCACTCCTCATATAATTAGGAGTCTATCAATTGCCGAACCTCGCTAGTTGTTTGTATTGCTCTGCGGTAGAGGGCTATTCAAAAGCATTGCCCTTTGTTTCAGCTCAATCCGTTTCCCAGTTGTTGTCACTGTGGTATAAATTGCTAAAACTACATTGTACGTTTGAACCGATCTCTCCCGATTTGTCATTTGTGTGAGACCAACGATTAGACACGGAGTTGGTTTAATGATCAAGGTAACACTTGAGCTCAAGTTTATTGAGTTAAACACAATAAATCATAGGCAGACTAAGGCTACTAAATGTTGAATTTTTCACGTTAGAGTCTGTCTTACTCCTATTGATAGACTCCTGATACAATAGGCGCGTTCACACTGGCGCGAATAAGCGGGATGCAAATCTCGGTTTTTGCATCGCGATCGAAATACCGAGATTTTTACAAGTGTGAACGCAATAATCTCACTAATAATCGCGATCAGCATTGCGCTCCAAATCGCACTTTTGACTGCGATTATTTGAAATTAGCGCGATTATTTGCGTGTGTGAACGCTCGCGCAAATAATCCCGGTATTTTCTATCCCATCATTCCAAGCGACCGTATCAACATCTGGCAGTGAGCATGCGCAGTTCGATTAATAGAATTATCCCGCTCGGCGATTAGTGAGATATTTCCGCTTGTGTGAACAACGACACAATTATCTCGGTATTTCCATCGCGATTAGCATCGCGGTTTTTCTTGTGTGTGAACACGCCTAATATGTATCAAGAGTACATAATATAGATTGTTATACATTGATATACTAGCTGTTAATAGTGTTATACATTCGTCCCAGCTTTATCCGGACATGTCAGCAACCATTTAGATGTTACAGTTAAGAGGTTGTCCAGATTACATTGACAGTACTTTGTCAAGGTCCACATGTGTCAAAGAGTACAAAGTGCACAGGACGATAATGAGCAGTGAACACATCACAATGTGTGATGCAAATTAACCATATATACCAAATGTGTTCATTTTATAAGACAGATCACTATACGAGTATGTTTGTGACTTATGATATACCACATATATACCTGTTCCAATTCACCTGTTATGCTATAGACCCACCCGAGCATATAATAATACCAAGAGTACATTATAGAGATCTCTAAGTCTATCTATCTCTACATAATCTCTCTATCTCTCTATAATCTCTATAATCTCTATTATGTACTCTGGATAATACCATGTACACGTGAATTGATCCTATTACATATTTATACAAATGCATCTATATACACACTTTATAAAAACAATTTGCATTTACACACTAACCTTTATTGCAATCAAGTCCAAACCAGCCCGCCTCACAGAAGCACTTAAGCTTGGGATAGGATGATGATTGCGTATCAATGCACTTGCCGTGCACACCACAGTGAGTGTCTTGCCAGCATTCGTCTATATGCAAATATGCCATGTATCTACTGAGCTACATCTATCCCACGCGATGTTACATCCATCGTGACATGTACTAATCGTGTACTGATTCTAACGTTACGTATCCTGATAATTCTGTTGTTCATAACACTGATGGTGATGGTGACAATGCCGATGGCAAACTATAATTAATCTTTGCACTGATATGCAGTGGATGCCAGCGCACAGCAAATAAAGTCAGGCATAAAATATTTACACGTAATAAACAACAACTTAATGATAAGCAATGTTTTAGAATGCTGCAATTTTACCGAGAAACTATTTCGCATTACCTCTGTTTTCACAGTATTTTCCAGAAGACAGGGAATTGCAGACACAGCCAGCTGCAGTATCATAACTTCCTCTTCCTGAGCAAGCATCATCTGTAGGCACTGCAAGCGAAATAAAATCATCAATCAATCTTATGCAGATTATATAAGCCTAAGGGGAAACACAACACTGAACATTCCAAACGTGTACTTCTCTCATGAAGCTCACTCCTTACAATAGTACAGAACTAGAAAGGAAGAATTACAGAATGCCCTGCTAGAATGTATTACACGAATAAAAGTAAATGGGACTTTCTAGAGAAGAAATGCATTATGGAATGTAAATGTTTATGAACATGTTAAGATTGCTGACATGTTTTGCATTGCAATCATAACTTCAGTTACAATATCATGCCAGGAATCGTCTTAGTATAACCACAGCTCTAGTCAAACGCGTGCCAACGCAAACTGTGGTGCTGGCTTTCTCACTATTGCTACGCTCACCCGAGACAATTTCTACATCTGCGCAGCTCCATTGTGTAGAGTTCCACTCCTCAGCATCTCTTAGCAACCGCAGCATGCAATGTCTGCACTCTGTCGTGGGCAACGTCACTGAATGGAGAACTCTAAAATGACATATAACCAACGCGATCCAGAACAGCACAAACATTCCACCGACAAAAGAAACATTATACCAGGAGTGTCATAATATAGTATCAGGAGCGTATAATGACAAATATATTGTCATTATACGCTCCTGATAGTATCTATCTATCTATCTGTCTGTCTGTCTGTCTGTCTGTCTGTCTGTCTGTCTGTGTCTGTCTGTCTGTCTGCAGACAGACAGACAGACAGACAGACATGTCTGTCTGTCTGTCTGTCTGTCTGTCTGTCTATCTATCTATCTATCTATCTATCTATCTATCTATCTATCTATCTATCTATCTATCTATCTATCTATCTATCTATCTATCTATCTATCTATCTATCTATATCTATCTATCTATATATCTATCTATCTATATTATAAAAAGTACCACTCCTGATATTATTACTTAGAAATTAAAGATATATTTTCATAATGAGAATATCGATCTATCTATCTATATTATACACTCCTGATATTATTATCACTTAAAAATTAAAGATATATCTTTTCATAATGAGAGTTCAGCCGACAAAGATCATGATATAATATATGATATACTTACGTGTAATCAGGACTGGCGGTAACTTGATCTCTCGAAGAGTAAAGCGTTTCTAAAAGGTCGCTGTTGCTGTTGCGCAGCTCAATTTTGAAACCGCCCTGTAAGGCAACAATGTCAAACACGGTTACCACTACCCCCGTCAAGGAAACTTGCCAAGCAGTCTCTATCAAGGTATAACTGTATAGACGCGATTTACTATTATTTCACATTTAATTATTCATCTACACAGGATTTTTACTCACCCTATTTGGGTATGCAATATGCCAGGTAACGTTGATAGTTGATCCTGCTATTAGTGTTGTCACAGGACTCGCCGGTAAACCTACAAAGATATATGGATCAGTGAACTTCACTATAAAGTCCTATATATATACTATTATTAATTCAACATATTTCACGAAGGAATATGAAATTACGAATTTATTACTAACGCAAAGTAAACCCAGGAGACTGTGATCCTAGTAATTGCCATTGCATGTGTGATTTCACATATTTGATCTCATTTTGATTAACTGAATGGTGTATTAGGTGACATGCATCTCGTTGTAAGGTATGTGCCTCCAGGGCAGGGGGTTGACTTAAATATGTGGCTAACGAAACAACATTGTCTCACCAATAACTCTATTATCACGATGCTAATTAGATCTGTGGCTGCTAGTAGGTGCCATAATTAAAATCAGCGTATTTCAATGTGTTTACATGCTAACAATAAGTGGCAGTGACCCTGAGACTGTAGCAAATCCCTCCCCAAACACAAAAGGGAACAGCTTGAGGTGTAACCACGTATGCTAGAGCGCCACCCTAGGTTACACCCTGGCAAAAATTTCAAACACGCAGCCGTACTATTCAATACACACTACTCTTTTGATGAACAGAAAACCGCCTATATGTGCATTGTCATTGAGGGATTGGCCATAAATATTATAGGCGCTTTCAGTCTCTCACCGCGTGTGGCAGGCAACGCTCTCATAAGCCACGAATGCTTCTTGATGATTTATTCACAAACTCCCAAGTATGCAATTCGATCATCATATATATACCAATTACAATCACATATATATGATGGTGTTATTATAGGAGTAATATGCACACTAGGCTATTATTTGCAACTGGGGTTATTAAAACGTATCATGAGCAGTATATATAGTGGCCCAATTATTTCACACCATGCAGGGTAGAATTAATAATGACAAGAGCCGCAGAGCGTCTGGGCTCATCTGAGGTCTGTTGCAACGGTTATAAATTTAACATTTAACTTTAAGTGGTGCGTAGTGACACCTTTGTTAGACCTGTGCAGATATGCAGATACGCAGCTGCGTACACATCATTTCAGCAACCTTCTTCATTCTGCATACCTCCCAAATCCTATTGGTTGATACAAATCGCGTGCATGAAAGTCCTGTTTTATGGTTGTAAATAAATCATGTAAATATTTGCATTAATTGGAAAAAAAATTGTTAAATGGATAAAGATAGAAATATACATAAAACAGGTAAATAATAAAAAATCTGATGGGATTCGATCCAACGACCTTTGAGCCGTGACGCCTGCGGTGTAGGCGTTCGGCAATACAGGCTTATTGGCTTTCTAGATTATGGATGTGCCATAAATATGAGAACACTGTGACATCATTGAGGCAGTTCAGGAATCCATGTTTAGCCCTCCTCTTGAGGGTCAAAAGGTTATCAGACACTTACTCTTCGCACGTCAGTGGAAAGCACATTTCATGCATCATTTTCATGGCAAGCATCTTCATTTTCAAGCACATTTCATGGTCCTTTCAATAAAGTGATAAAAATGGTAGGTCAGCGCTGAAACAAAAAAGTTTTTCACTGTCCATTAGGCCATGTCCTCAGAAAATGTCTGATATCTGACCTTTCCCCCACTGCCCTTTGACCTGTGACCTCCAATTTTGCACTGGTGATGGGTTCCCTGTCCATCACACTATACACCGAATATTAAGAGCATAGGTCGAGCCGTTAAGATTTGTGCCGCAATTCCGTATTTCCTCCCATACCTTAAGTTAAGGGAGAAATATTCCCTCCGTTTACACGTCTTGACCTTTGACCCATGACCCCCAAATTTGTCATCCTGAGTCCTTTTCACGATCTCCCCCCGACGTCCCAAATATCGTGACCGTACGTCGAGCGGTTAAGATTTGTGCCCAACTGTTGACGGACGCACGGACGGACGCACGATCATGCGATTCTACAAGCTGCATCGGACTACGGCAGATGAGCTAAAAATTATGGAATGAAGTGTCAAGGGTCAAGATGAACCTTAAGATGGTTGCCCAATGGCATTACCACAAAGATGTCAAAGGGCATCAACCACTCAATGTTCCCAACCAGTTACATGAACT